GCAACACTGGATTTTTTCCCAATAGCTCCAGGAGTTTTATGTCAAAAATTAGTAGCTGATTGGCAGCAAATGTCTGCTGTTGCATACCTAAAATACTCCAGATTTTTATTCCATTACTTTCCTAGTTTCGGTTCTGCGTGCTACGTAAAATTATGCGAACAACTGACTGATTGTGACGATGGTTGACAACTATCGGTCTAGCTTTCCCGCTTTGCGTTGCAGCATAGACTTCGTAAGCTATATTTGCAGCTATAGGGTAGATGATTGCTACTTCGATAAATAACTTTTTTTTCCTTGTCACGCAAAGTCTGCATGGGAAAGCTATTTGTCACAGTTAATTTTTAAGACAGGTTTTTGGAGACGTTTCACAAAACATGCTTTTTAGTGTACCCTTAATTCAGTTTCACAGTACTCATTACATATGCAAATGCCAGCACTGTTCGAAGCTGGTACATCATTAATCTGTAGAATGTGCAACGTTGCTTTTCTTTTGCTGTATGAGCATATAATGCAGATGTGCCTGCTTTGATTTCGCGATCAAAATGATCATTATTTCATTATTATTGTTGTTATTATTATTGCATCAATCATCATCATTATTATGAAGCACTTGCACATTGCGCAGTAGTGAACGTAGTTAATCTCATACATCAACAGTGCCGTGAAGCGCAGCTTTTCGTAATGCTAGATATTGTATTTGATTGCTGAAATTATTACTTGGAGCCGTTTGCTAATGTAGACCGTGTCTGGATGATGATATGGGTTGTATTCGCAGCCTTTCAACTTACCGCATTATAGAAGGAACAGTTCCTCTCCGAAAACAGATCTGCCTCTACCTCGTTCACTTTTGTTGTGTTCTGGCCTCCTGATCGACATCTGCTATGTTTTGGACTACACACGAAAAGTTCTTGAGCTGCAGTTAATGGTTTATGCTCGGCCACCTTGTCCAACACGGATAACCTTCCTTTCTCAATCTCCACATCTGCTAAAGTTACTTGTGTCCAAAATTGAATACAGTCATTTGGCCGGATATAATGTACTGCCTCTTCACTATAGAATCTGACTGGTCTGTCCAACAGTCGGCACTTTTTCGAAGTAGAAAGTCAAAAACATTGTTGAATAGCAGAGATGGAAGCACATCTTTCCGGCAAATTTCACAATGAGGTACCATTTCGATAGCTCTCCTTGATCCTTGACTGCAGACATAGTTCTTGTCTGCATCGCTTCCAAAATAGAAAAGATGTACCCAGGTATCCAGTAGCATTCCAAGACTTTCTATATTGTATGGCGATATAGTAAATCAGAGCTGTGGTAAAGTTGATGAAGTTGGCAAAGGAAGGCAACTAGAATCCTCGACATTGCTACGCATTGAAAATTTTGTCAGAGCAGGTGTGTCCCATCAAGAAGTCTGCTTGATTTGGGCAAAGTATCCCCCCAACTGCCTGTTTCATCATTTCCAGGATAATCGAGGCGTGCAGTTTCCTGATAGTTTACGGTAATATGACACCATGAGAACTGGAGCACTTAGTTCTCCTACCCTCTTTAGTATAGGAATGGGTACTCGACATATTCTCTAGAAAATAGTTTTTAGGTCCACGGATGATATGAGGCATGGAATGTTTCTACCAGTCCCGTTCCTTAGTACTTTATTAACGTTTAAGTAATTAGCTCGACTCCTAAAGTTTTCACCATGAGCTGTAGCAAAACTTTTTGGAATTTTAGTTTTTTGGGTGTCTGAACTAGTCTGGACTGTTCGCGTAATAATTAAAGATAATAATTGATGAATCTGGAGGTTAGCTATTGAATAGCTGTCTGAAATGCGTAGCCTATCTTTTGAAGCATTCTTATGACCTATCAGTGCTACACACCCTTAGCGTATCGGATAGGGACTACATTGCCCCATGCTCTCCGGACAACTGCCGAACTCATTTGAACACTGATCGTCAGTCACTTTTTGGTTTTCTTATCGATCTTCCTAATTTTCCCCTACAGCCAAATTTTCTTGTTCCGTTTGTCGCACTGGTTAATTGCACGAATGAGTCTACGGTGTATCGTCTTCGAGGGTACAGTTGTGTGTTGCAAGTACTGTTCTCTCTGGTTACTTTGCATCTGCAGGTTTGGGTCTCCTCTGTAGCCCAGGGCAGTCTGACTGTCCTCGTAACCCCAACTACGTTTTTCGCAAATGTAGTGACGCCTTCTTTCGAGCCTATGTAAGTCTGATCGACGATACCATATTTCAACCAGGCACCAAAATAACTAACTTTCACATAGGTTACACTGACGTTTATCGTCACCTGTTAAGCATTTACTCGACAGGCCAGGATGTCAGGATTCTCTCGTACACCAGTTTCACAGAAATGATCGACCAGCTTTCCCCCGTGTGGTATAAAGATAATCACACCACCGCGCAATTTACTGTGGCATGACTATCAATGTTACCATCCATCTTGCAGGTGGCGCATCCTCTTACCAGAAAGGCGAGCTTCCGTGACCTTCCGTACGTCGAGTTTGTAGCGGCGCGCCGTCCGCTAGGTAGCAGTTAGTCCTAGTCCGTCCTTTGCTAGACAACAAATGTTCCAACACGAAACTTATCTCTTGCAGTGTCGATCGCTGGTACCGCGAACTGCTTGGTTTGTAGTTTTCCGGTAAGTTGCGAGCGAGTACGATGGCAGCAATAATAACAGTAAACCAAACAAGCAGTTACTCGCGAAAGGAATAAAGTTTTCTGTAATTACATCCGCAATTAGCGTTCAGATTATTTCAGTAAGGTGAAATGTACCATTACAAATTTCAGTCCATCACTTTTCGTCCATCAGGCAACTCCTGTGGTCTGGATTCTCGGGCAAGGCTGCGTGGAATGTTTAATATACCCATGCCACGGCGCCCTTGATCTGTTTCTTGGCCACCCATCATGCATAAATATTGACATAAATTTTTAAATGTTTTATTTTCAGTAGAAAATGATACATATCGTTTTGTGGTACTTATCTTGACAGCTAGGGTTAAAACGTAATACAATGCACTTCACTTTCAAATGTGTACCAGATTTTGAAACCACCAGTTTTTCAAAACCGAATTCTTTTCCTCTCTTTGCACGCTCGTTTCCGAAAAGGCCACATGTTACTGCCTTTGCGATTATTTCAACTGTTCCTGATGACGCGGCCACAGATATGCTTACCTATGTTTTTCTGCTATAGTCGCCTTTATGCGTCGGTAATTGTATTTTTCAGTTTTGCAAGCGTGTGTTTTCGGTGCTTGTGAATGGGTCGCGTTTCAGAAGTGGAAAATGAAGAGAGTTGGCGATACGAACCCGCGGTGTACGAACGTTCGTTGAAGCGGCAATACGTGGACGACAAATACGTCGCACCGATGCCGCCACAGAACTGCGGTGTTTATCGACAAGAGTGCGCAGCTTTCGACAGTTTACCTTCTCCGTACTCTGCTTTCATAGCGCCTTACTGACTGAACATGGCATTTTAAGAAATAATCTTATGCACTGTTTATCCGCGTTTACCCGCAGAAATAGAATAAATCTCGACATTGACTTTCCGGCTGACTAACCATCGTGTTGTATTTATCCTTTCCTGTTGGCACAGTAAAGACAACATGAACCAGTTGTCAGAAGTTCATTCCGGTACGCCAGTGAGTCTCGGGAAATTTAATGGGGATGTAAAGCTCATTACGTAAGGGTAAGACACACTTTACCACCGTTCTGCATAGGGATGTGTTATAAGAATAAACAGACGGTGCCACGAACATTCATTTCTATTCAATGTAAAATTTTTTCTTTCTTTTGATATCTCTTTCTTTGGCCTAGTAATTTTGCCCGTCTCGCTAATTCACGTATCAAATTCAAAGAAATAAAAATGCTATGATTATTTAACGCGCTAATAGACAAGTACTGTCATTAGCGGTCGTTTGATTGCAGTTATGGTAACACGAAAGCGTGCGGTAAATAGGTGAGAAATGGTCAGAGTCGAACTTCGCGTCATTGAGAGCAATTATGCACAACGTCTGTCTTGTCGAACACAAGTCTAGCTTCCCTGAGATGCTGATCCAGCAGTTATTACCGTGCGATGCCGTCATTACTACAGTAATTATGAGAGGGAGTTCTAAAAGCAGGTATTGACTTAAGGCGGCTTGCTATGGCTTATGCTGTTTCCTCGTTGATTCAAGGTCACTGTTAATTTCCAACTCTCTTCTGGATTTCGATGCATATCTGACACCGGTTATCTGGTTAGCACACCGAGTCTATCAATTATCGTTTTTCATAGCGTTCCTTTTACGATCATTTTCGGTTCTGTCAAATGCTCGGCAAATATCATTTCGTCATAAGAAATAAAAATTTAAAGAAATTTGTGCAACATTTTCTTGTTTACTGAGTGATATAATACGATATAACAAGTCACTGCTTCGTTCACGCATCCTTTGGCTTGTGGTTACAAACCTGTCTGTATTTTCGGAATTCTTCTGAATGGAAGCAGGAACATGCAGAGCCAAATTCCTGCATTGCGGGGGAGGTACATTTGCCTGAGTTTTTTGTCGAGGCCTATTCATAATCAGCTTCTTCAGAGAAATGGATATGAAAACCTACATTTTTTTAAAATTTGTTATTACCAACAGCGATGGCGGAATAAAATTTTTATTATTTCTGAGCCAGTAAACGAATTACAGTTTCTAAATTTTACTAGTGCAGTAAGCACGCCATTTTAACGAGGAGATTCTTCAAAAGCAAGTTACTAAATACAATATCAGACAGTAAAAAATTGCGTTAAATATAATATTCTGCTGAGCTGCCATGCTTTGTCAGCAGTGTATGCCACGAGTTACTCACAGGCTGATTTTAGCTATCCACCGGAAATGCAATACCGAAAGGGAGGCGAAAGACCACCAATGTATGCGGGCCGGTATAGCTTTGACAATCGGTATTCGTTGTGCCCCAAATATTTACTGTTTATCTTCTGTTTAGAAATATCAACAGTTGGCATGCGCAGCGCTATATGCCACCATCGCCGGGCAGCATGCAAACTAATGAATGGAGCTGCCATCCGCCGCGGTCTCCAGCAGAAGTGTAAGTTTCCGTCGCACCATTTGTCGTTCGTTGGTTTTTCTTTGAAACGAAACGTTCCATACGTATCCGCTTTGTAGTAATCCTGTGCCCGAGAGATGGCGTTCGATGCGGGACGCATATATCCCGGAAAGGGGTGTTAGCATGTCGAACTGGACGACGCAGAGCGCAAGAGACACGCGTCTGGAAGAGTGAGTTTTTCGCGAGCGCGAGTGGAGTGCGTGCTGTGTTGTTCACTGTTCTGGCTCTTGCCACTGTTTCAGCGAACTGTTTGGCGCCTGTAGCACGGGAATCAATTTCGACAAATACGAGGAGATTCCGGTAGAGGCGACCGGGCAGAACGTACCGAGCTGCATTAACAAGGTAAAGCGATTTTGTCACCTCGATTGTTTTCAGTAGGCGCTCTTTTTCGCCCCAGTACTCGCATTCTTGCAATAATCATTTTTGTTTATCAGACCTACTGTACAAATGTACAATGAAAATACTAAATCACAAAGGGTGATCACCTTTCTAAAAGGTACCTATCCTAAAGAAAAGTAAATTGTTCGAAATAAATAAGCTGACTATTTACACCACATTGCACTATTAGCTACCAGCAGATGCCGTCTATCCTTTGGGAATGACGTCATGAGTGAAACTTTTGCCCGGATGTTCCGTTCCTTTTGACTAGTCACAATTGTTATGAGAAGATTTAGAACAGTTCATCATGCCGTTGCCCGGTCTTTGTCATAACTTGTTATCAGAGTACCTTTCTTCTGGACAATTGTCATAAAAGCACAATAAACTTTGTCAGCCTCGGTTATCACAGCTTGCTTAGCTGATCCTTTCGGATTCATTGAAACCCTTCTTTGGTGCAATAACGGCTCTGAAGTTTACGCTCCACTGTACTTTGCTCTGCTATGAGACCCAGAGGTTTGATCATTGCTTGATTTCTGCATTATGGTAGGAGTATTTGGAATATATGCATAGCAGCATAACCTGTAATGTACGCTTAATAAATGAAAAAGTTCCTATACAGAAACCGATGTTTCACACAGTGCAGTAATAATAAAGTCAATGCGATAGTATTTTGCCGTTTTGCAAGCAGGCGAGTCGGAGATCTTAATATTGCCTATCAGTAGCTTCGCATATATGTTTTATTAAATGAACTGCGTACGTTTAGAGTGCTATTTGTCATACTACATTGGTAAAAATAAATCGAATTCGCCAACGGTTTAATACTGCAGCTGTTGTTTTTCTTCAGGGAAGGTGTCATCTTTTGTAGTTGTTCGATTCTCCCTTGTAGGCTAAAGTCTGTCACTCCTTTCAATTTTTTCCATGCAGTCGGCAGATCGTGCTTTCGCTTCTACTTCAGTCGGTTGTCTGCTTTTCTTCCATCATAGGTAGACATACGAGTACAAATATGTGTGACTGTCGAAATCGATAAAGGAGTCTGTTATATGGCAAATCAGAGCGGGACAAGTTACTCGCCCTTTCCTCGGTTCTTGAACAATGTTACCATTTCTAAATCTAGGTGGAATTCAAAAATTTGCTTTATGTACATAGCAACTTATTATCCTCTTAGTTTTTTTAGCTCTCATTTTTTAAAATTTCACGACGTCCTTGCGACCGTCATAGCGTATAGTACATACTTTGCCGTTTTTCGGTTTCATTTGCGCTCCTTCTGTTTGATTGTTACCAGTTGTTCAATACGTCCACGCTTTTGCTGAGGTTCTAAACAACATTGTGTCAAAAATTACGCAATGGAGAAAGGAAAGTGCGGCAAATAGTGCACTTTACGGATTGATGAAATTGCTAACGTTCCGTCACTTATAAACAAACACGTGAGGTACGTAACTTAACCCTGCACGAAATTCATTTTGACCCCTATCTTCTTTTTCAAGATAAGCGGTCATATTCGATTATTAGAAATTCAGAGACAGGAGAAGAATTTCTGTTCTGTACAATTGACCATCAAACAACGACTGCCTTGAAGACGGCCATTTTCGTTTATCCAAGGCTTTTACAATAAAAAGATTCCTTTGTATCGGTTTCCTGGTTGCTTCTGGTTATAGTATCTGTACTACTTATTTATTTACGATTCACGGTACAACTGATTTCAGTCCATACAGACGAATGGCAAAATACTCTTATATAGTAGACAAGTAACCTCAGTCAGGATTGAAATCCACAACTTTTCGACAATGCGGTGAAAGCTCATTTGACTGCACTAC